GAATAATCAAAATATATTAATATTAAAAATTAATTTTAAATCAAAACAAAATAATCAAAACAAGAAATGAAAATATGAATCAAATGAAAATAAATAAAATAGAAAAATAAGAAATAAAGAAATAATAAGAATAAAGAAGAATAATAAGAAAGAAAAGAAATATAAATAATATTAATAATAAATTAAAATAAAATAAGAAATGAAAAATACAATAATAATAATAAATAATAAAAATATGAAAGAATAAAGATAATAATAATATAAAATGATGATATTAAAGAAATTATTAAAATATAAAATAAAGATAAAAGAAAACAATAAAATATAAAATAAATTCATTTTAATATAAATCATTTAAATAATTAAACAATAAAATTATTTTATAATATTGAAATATTTCATAAATATAATAAAAATGAACAAATAAAAGAATATATAAAAATAAATAAAAGAATAATAAATAATAAATTAAAATAATCAATATATTAAAAAGAAAAAAAGATAATAAATAATATATATAAATAAAAATCATAAAAATAAAAATGAATAAAATATTTTTTGCATAAATAAAATAAAGTTAAATAATTTGCATCAATAAATTAAACGCTTTTTTTATTTCATATTTCTAATTTCTATAATAAAAAATACATCCATTATTTCATCATTATTTTCACCTTTTATTATCTCATTTTGAATTATTCTTTTTTATCTTCTTTCATTTTATAATCTCAACTTTCTACTTTTATTCTTTTCATCTTCTTCTACTTCATAATTTCACTTTTTTCTTTTATACCATTCTTTCTCTTTATTTTTCTCTTATTTTCTTTTTTTCATTGCCAAATAATAATAATAATAATATTAATATTAATAATTTTAATAAATTTTGTATTTGATTTATAATAATAATCATTTAAATATATAATAATTCTATATCTATTTCATTTCATAATATCTTTATTTATTTACAATATTTAAATATTTCAAAATGACATATTAATGATGAATTATATTTATTTTTAATTGTTAAACAACATAAAAACAAAATAATACCATAATATACATAGAATTTAGTAAGAATGAATTAATAATCAAATAACAAAAAATAATAAATAATAAATAAAATATTTGATTTTTAGAGAATGGAAGAAATGATTAACAGTAATTATTTGTTTATTATTTTTCTTGTTTTTTCAAGTGTTGAAGAATTATTTAATAATAACAATATAAACACAAGAATAATTTTAATTGAGTGAACAAGATAGAAAGTCATTTAATTGATTATTATCTTTTTTCTCAAGTAAATTGAAATACATTTGAATAACTTTTGATTATATTCATTATTAAAGTGAATAAAAAGAAATGAAAAGTGAAAATAAAAAAAGAAAATAACAAATAAAAATGGAAGAACAAAAAGAACACACCACAATTGAATATAAAAATCAAATTAATGAAGTTCGAATATCAAATATATTAATTGGATTATCAAGTGGGATTATTGGAATTATTCATCTTCAAGAAATCATAGTAATTATTGGAGGATATTTTACAGAACAAGCAAAAGAAATAGTTTTAACAACAAAATTAATTGGAGCAACATTAATTACATTAATGGGAATTATTGGATTTGAAATGAAGTATCGAGGATGCTTTTTGTTATTAACAGGAATTTCATTATCATATTATTCAATATTTGTTCATGAAAATGATTTTATTTCATTATATAAAACAGTTGAATCATCAACAAGTATTGAATGGATAGGTGGAATTACATGGTTCATATTTTATATTGTTGCAATACATTTATTTAATAAACCTCGTTTACTTGTATATTTAAATATGAGCTTAGTTATCTATCAATTTTCACGATTATTACTTCATATTACACCAATTATTCGTAAGAATATAATAATGAAAATGATTTTTGGAAGTATTAATATTATAATAGTAATTATATCAAACATCTTTGCAATATGGAATTTCTATCCTTCAATGAGAAGATATAAAGAAGATAAAGAAAATAAAAAAGAGAAAGAAGAAAAAAAGAAAGAAGATTAAGTCAATTAAATATTTTTATGTTTTGGTGTTTTATCTTTTAAAGTTAAAGATTATCAAATGTATTTAAATAAAATGATAATATATTTTATTTGAATTATTTAATTAATTTAAATAAAAGATAAACAACTAAATAAATGTGTATTTCCTTTTTTTGTTTTATTAATTAAATTTTTATTAATCAATTGAAGATTTATGATAAAAAAAAGATTTTAAATTAAAAAGTGAGAAGAGGTTCATATAAATATGAAAATATTTTTTCACTTCCACGAATAACAGTACCATATGATCCACAAATAGCCATACTCACTTTAACTGATGTAAGTGTTATTTCTGGATATTTATATTTCTCAAGTTTTGTTAAATCTTCACTATCACTATAAACTAATGTAACATGTGGATCAAATCCTTCAAATACATTTGGTGATCCATAACTATCACAATATTTCTTTTTTTTATTTTTTTCTTCTTCTGGAAGAGTATCAACCCAACTTGGACATGTATAATTTTTATCTCTAAATGGTGATGTAAATTGAGTAATTTCGTCTGATAATTTTTGAAGACATGGTGTGTTTATTGCTCGGAACATAAAATATTTCCCACTTGCATATGGTTTATCCATATTAATATTACATCCTCTTAAGTCTTTAACTGCTTCTGCAATCTTTTCTACAACATTTGGAATACTTGTTTCTTCAAATTTAGTAAGATATAATGTTATGTGTGGTGCACATTTTGTAAAATCAATTTGATTCTTAATTGATGCTTCTTGTGTAATATTTTTTGCAAATTCAATAAATTTATTTTCATCTTCTTTTGAAAATCTAATATTAATATTAAAATCTACTCCAATAGATATTCCAATGAACAAGAACACAATTATCATTATTTATATTTTGTAGTTTTTCTTTTTTTTTTTATTTTTTTATTCTTTTTTTATTTTTATTATTTCTTTTTATTTTATCTTTCTATTTTCTATCATTTGTATTTCTCTTATTTAACTCTTCTATCATATTTTATCTTTTCTTCTCTTCTTGTTTCTTTAAATGATTTATAATTTAATGAATAGTATAATTGTTTGAATTTAGAGTGTTAGTTTTCACATTTATTTTTTCAAAACAAACATAAAAATTATTGAATTTTAAAAAACTTTGTTTAGATGATTCTAAATTCATTAATTTCTTTATTATCAAATACCTCTTTTTATTTCTTTTTATTCATTTGTTGTTTGATTCTTTACTCTCTTTAACTCTCTTTTTGTTTTCTTTCTTATCTTCTCTATCACTCTTTTATAATTTCATTTACTTAGAACCTTTCTTCTTTTAACACTCTCTTCTTATTCTTATTTCTTCTCTTCTTATTACCTTCATTAATTTATATTCTCTCTTTCTTCTTTCTCATTAATTAATTGATTTCCCTCTTTTAATCTACAACTAAATAACAATCCCTTTTATTTTAAATTAAACCTTTTTATTTACTTGTGGTGTGGCATAGTAAATAAAATGGTTTTATTTCGTCATGAACTAAACAAAGAGTTAAAATAATTTATAGAGTGAAATTGCTTCCACCATTTTCTGTTGCTTTCTTGAGACAAATAAATATTTGGTAACTTTACTAAAACTAAAATCACCATTATTCTTTCTTCTTCCTCTTCTAAATACTTTGACGATTTTATAGTTTTAACGAAAATTAGAAGAGAAATATAATAATTTTCATTTGTTTCAATCAAAAATTCTTTTTATTTCTGAACAAATTTTCCTGACACTCTTTTTTGCAGAATTTAAGTTGAGGACAGTACTTTACTTAAAAGGAGAAGTGATGTTGGTAATTAACCTAAACAAGCACTGATGATAAAATCTTAACATAAATTTATTAATGATAAAGATAGAAACACTTAAATAAAAATGAAATAAAAACTGTTCCATAATCAATAATAAAATAAATTTTAGTTGATTGAACTATTTAAATAATTTTTTTTGTAATTTAATAATAATATTATTATTAGAAAAGTCTAGAATTAGTTTTTTGTTATAATGTTAAGTACTATTTATTAAAATCAGTTGATTTTTAGTTCATTACAGATGAGCCTTTTCCAACCACCAGCCTTACTTGACCAATATCTTTCTATGACTGTTGTAAATATAGCCATCTATTTATCTTCATCTTTTTACAACCAATTAATAACTTCAGATGTGTTCAATAAATTAAGACCGTATTCGTATTTTTTAAGTCCTTTATATGCAATAATATCAAGTAATCTTATGTTATTGTACTTTGGTCAAATTGAAAGTTCTCTTGATGCAAAAATATACGTTTTGTTAAGTCATTTTCTTATTGGATTTATTATTCTTAATGCCAATATGAATTCTAAATCCTTTAGACTTCTTTCAGGTATTGGTCTGGTTTTATTTAATACATCTGGAATGTTAAATTATTATTCTAAAGGATTTAATCAATATGGAATAGTTGGTGCATTTGTTTTTTCCTATTTGGCTTGTGTTTTAATATCATACGTTTACTTGTATATCGTAGTTTATTTATGGCAAAAGCATACTATTAAGATTTACGCTAATCCAAAAACACTCCTCCAAAATACTATTACTTTCTCAACAATTTTTGTTATTGTTGCAATTCTTCATAACATTCAATTCCCACATATTTATCTCGTTGTTCTTGGATTCTATACGTTGGTTTATCTTGATGATAATCTTTGGCATAAACTCCCAGAATTTTATTCAAAAGCTAAATTAGACTGAAATACAATTAATTTAATTTGGTTTTTGATAAGTTTATTTAATTTTTGAAAAAATAATTTGGAAAATTAAATTCTTTTTCTTCTCCTTTTTATTTAACTAATAATTCATTCTTCTTTTATACAACAAGAAGAACAAAATACTATATACGTTAAGTTATATAACTGTCTAATTTTTGTATTTATTATTTTAATTTTCTTATTTGTTTAAATCATCTAATGAAAGTTTGAGTAAATTGTGTTCACTCATTTAGCCAACAAGAAAGTGTAATATTATTGTTAAGGTTATAAGAGATAGTTATAAAAATAAGTTCATGAGACAGAACAACACCATAATTATTTGAATTTTTAATATAATTTGAATAAAAAATAACTATTTTATTTTTAGTATCACTAATAATTGTTTTTTTATTCATTTTAATTCAGTTTAATTTTTATTATCATTATCTCTTTTGAGATAAAATAGTCTGTCCAAGAATCTGTTAATGGTGATAAACTTTATAGTAGTTTTGACGTTCTGAATGGTCGTAAACTTATTTTTTTAATGCACTATATTTAATAGGAATAACAAATATATCAGCAGACAATACAGTA